AGTACTTAGTTATGATGAGCAAGAGTGCCTCTTTCAAAATTGTGAATTTTGTGACCCCAGGGTCAGGGGTTTTGGTGTTAGGGCGGGGCTGTATTGATCATATAGTGAAAATGCATAAATTCTTTGAAAGTCTTCTTCTCTGCTTCTGTGTATTAATTAAACTATGTAATTAAATAGTTATGTTGATCAAGAGTGCCTCTTTCAAAATTGTGAATTTTATGAACCCAGGGTCAGGGGTTCTGGTGTTAGGGCAGGGCTCTATTGGTTATATAGTGAAAATGCATTTATTCTTTGAAATTCTTTCCTTTGCTCCTGTGTTTAATGCCTATGATCCAAATATATTTATTCATTATGAAGAAAGGTGCACCTAGCAAAATGGTTAATTTTTATGCCCCCGCCCCTTCCCTGGGTCGGGGTGAGGGGTGGGGGGGTACAAAGTCTGAAAATAAATTAATGCTTTGAAATTTGCTCTTTGGTGTGTTAATCAACCATTTTATGATAAAATTTGCAAAATTTTGAAATATGTGGCCCCAGGATCAGTGGTTCCTTTGGGATGAGGTGTACAACTGGTTATAAAGTGGAAGTGCATTTTCTCTTAATGTTACTCTGATCTACCTCTGGGTATTAAGTAAATAGAGTTAGCATGCTAAGTCTAAATTATTATAAGCAATGGTACCTCTTTCAAAATTGTGAATTGCAATTCCATGAAAACATGAAGAAATTTAATTGTTTGGTTTGCTGGTGAGTTTATTGTGGACAGTTAATTTGGTTGATTATAAGGCCCCTGTGTATCAGATCTGTGGGTTAAATGAGCATGACTATCTCTCCTCAGACTTGCTGGATTTCATTAATCGTGAATTATGGCAGGGAAGGTGATTTGATTAACAGGGCCCTATAACAAGCCCTGTGATTGGCTGGTAATTAAATTTTTGACAGTTAATGGAAGGCGACAGGTTGTTACAGAACTGATAGGTTAAATCAGACAGAGTTAGGGCAGATTAAAAGTCTGGAGGGGATTCACTCATTCCCAGTAAAGGAAAATTGTCAATAAATGATAGTCAACATTTTCTGTGGGAAAATAGCTCTATAAATAGTACTCTGATTTTCAAGTGAATGACTATGGGTTAATGCCCCCTAGGTAACTTCTTATTTAAACCCAGCACTACAGAGCTGTATAGTTATATTGTAATTTTAAGATCCTCGGTTAATGCCCCTGCACTTCTTTAGATATACCCCAGAGAGGTAATACTAAGTGCTGATCAAGTCAAAAGACTATATTTACAATTGTACTTCTAGAAGCTAGATTCTTGGTTAATGCACCTTTATACTTTTTTTTTTACTTCACTTGCAGTAAACAGTGCCATTCAAGACTCTTTTATTTATAGTACATTTTCAAGTGATTTCAAGTGTCTTTGTTAAGGTTCTTATTTTTACATACAGGAGAGATCAGTGGCAAGTCAAGAACTCTATTTATAGAACTTTAGTGCCAGAGAGACAATATTCTTCATTCTAAAAGCAAAATGTAAAGAATATTTAATTCCTTTATATCTGTTAAGATCACAAAGTCATTAGAGAATTTTTAAAAATCCATATGCAGCAAAACTCGGTTATAACGAAGTCACCGGGACCTATGAAATTACTTCGCTATATCCGTAATTCGTTATAACCGTATAAGAAATTCATTAAATTTATATAGCTGGGGATCCAAGATGAGTTCGCTATATCCGTAAATTCGCAATATCCGTGTTCGTTCTAACCGAGTTTTGCTGTGGTGTGTTGGCTATAAGCATGTTCTACTGTATTTGAGGGAATTTCATGAATGATTTCACAGTTTAACCCAGATATGCAGAACACAAACCACATTTATGTCTGTACAGTTGAACCTTAATATAATGGACACAGACAACTTATTTATAACTATACAGTGAAATGATAAATTGAACACTGATGTGGAAAGAGCATTAGGTTCAAGAGAAAAATAAACTCCTTTCCTTTTGCGTTTGGGATCTAATTGATATTGAGGAGTGATGTAAGATAAGGAATGTTATTGATTGATGATGGAGCTTTGGTGTCCCTTTTTTTAGCTGTCTGTATACACTAGCAGCCTCCCTCTCCTTTAGTTCTAATTCTGTATCCCACTGAAGAACAGCCGAGTGTTTATACAAGAGAAGATTTGTATACACTAAGGATTTAGGGATGATGTTTTTTTTTGTTCTGAAGCTGATCAATTAATTTATACATTAGAGGAATTTCCAGGTAATGGCAGACATGAAACAATTAGAACATCATTCAGTTTAAGAAACAAACTGCATACCATTCTACTCTGACTCTCTTTCCATATCTAGGATTGCCGAAATACGACTGAAATATGGCCGATTTTTGGCATAAAACAACAATAATCAGTCAATCATTATCTGGGGAAAACTAGTTATTAATAGTTGTCTTATGTTTGTGAAAGTCCCTCTAAATCTATGGAAATAGAGACAATCACGATATCAAATGCAATTTTTAAAGTTTAATATAAAGTAATTAAAAATATTATTCCAATTTTGCTGTTGTCTTTACAGTGGTTTGTGGTCCAGTCCTTAGGAGTACATCAGCTATGGGTCACGGCAGAGAATCGCTGGGGAAAACAGAGCAAGTCTGTTTATGTGGTAAGAATATCTGACTTGATCGTACATACTGGCTAGCTTATATTTTTTATACAGCGTTTTTTTTTTTAGCTGGGTGCTAATTTTGGCATTTTGTTATAGGTAGATGAAATTTTAATTGCTAAAAAAGTCAGCTAGTCATACATGCCAACTTTTGAAAATTCTCATGGTGGATGTTCATACATGTGATAATTTCTAGCCCAAATACTGTACAGCAGCCTTCAAAATACTGGAATTTGGGTGAAAATACTGTACATCGCTAATCAAAATACTGTACAAAAAACGGTACAAAATATTGACCCAAAAAACCATATAAGGTGTTTATTTTTCAATTATAAATTTTAAATCAATGTACAGGTGCAACACTGCATTACATATGTGTTGATTTATTATTATTTTCAAGAAAATCTTGAAGAATTTTGAATATCGGCATTAAACTAGGCTAAATGCTAAAAATGTACAGTATTTATAAAAACAGTTTATTGTATGAGTCTGGTCGTTTGCATTCAGCTGCAATTTTCAAATTGTATTAAAAAAAATTATTTCTCTTAATCTGTGTTTGAATAGGCAATACGTATACCTATGATCAAATAATGGACTAAATTTCGTTTTGCTGTCACTAAGTGTCTCTGATTGTTGTGAATGGCCGTTTTCTCTTTGAAATGTCTTTAGTTTTAATTAAAAACCCTTGATAAAGGTCCAATTAAAAAACAATCAGCCAAATAAAACGCTTTGATATCACCTAATTATGATGTAATTACCGCGGGAATATTTCACACCTTCGCTCTCGATGTTTTGTTTACATTTATCAAGCGCAGTAAGTCACGCATAGTTCGAGATTTCCTGTCTTGCGAGAGCGGGAATGAAAGAAAAATGGCGGTTTCCGGTTAACATTGTAAACAATTCAAAATACGGTACACATTTTCATTTCCCGTGAATTTTGGTGTACCGCCGGGACGCCGTGATGGGGGTCGAAAATACGGGACATTTCTGTACAGCCGGTACATATCACATGTATGGATGTTGTGCGTGACGACAATTTTCAAAGCTTTAAATTCGCTACATTTTGTCGTGAAATTAAATGATTATGAAATACTTTTTTTTAAAATTATAATATTGATAGCACTTATGAATACAAAACAATACAAATTAAAGTTTTATTTTTCCAAATTTAAATATCTTTGCTTAATAGTTGTCACTCTGTTCAGTTAATTAGTATATAGGTCCCTGCTCTGTTCTATTAATTTACATTTTGTTTCTGGTATGTACCCTTAAAATCAAGTGTCACTTTATTACCTATAAGTAAGTATATAGACAGTGTCACAGTGCATCATTAATTTTATCCCACACATGAAACAATTTAAAGAAATAGGCCTAATTAAATCATGAATTTTTTAACACAAGCCCCACCCCTACCCATCCCAAAGAAAAATTAAAATTGTAAAAGACTACATCATGAACATGATAAACTTTTGCAGTCTTGGCAATGTCATATGGGTCTTTGGTATTTCCTTGACCATGTTGACATATATGTAACAAAGAAATACAATGTACAATATGAGTATGATCTATGGGAGAAAGGGGGGGGGTTCAGTGTACTCAACATGAGAATATTATTTAATCTAAATTATTTTCAATATTTTTTTAAATTGACAAACTATTCAATATTTTTATTATTAGCAGTTAAAATCAGCAGCTATGTATGCTTTGAAATTTTCTACTTTCGTTTTCAAAAAACGATCTTTTTGGATTCATACATGTGATATGTACCGGCGGTACAGGAAATGTCCCGTATTTTTCGACCCCCATCACGGTGTCCCGGCGGTACAACAAAATTCACGGGAAATGAAAATGTGTACCGTATTTTGATATGTTTACCGGAAACCGCCATTTTTCTTTCATTCTCGCTCTCGCAACACCGGAAATCTCGAAGTATGCGTGACTTACTGCCCTTAATTAATGTAAACAAAACAGCATGAACGAAGGTGTGAAATATTCCCGTGATGATTACACCGCAATTAGGAGATATCAAAGCGTTTTGTTTAGCTGATTGCTTTTCAATAGGACAGGTTTATCAAGGATTCTTTTTAACTGTAATTTATTAAGAGTAAAGACGTTTCAAAGAAAACACCATTCACAAGAATTAGAGACACTTTGTGACACCAAAACGAAAATTCGTCCATTATTTGATCAGGCATACGTATTGTCTATTTAAACACAGATTAAAAGAAATGATTTTTAGTACAATTTTAATAATGCAGCTGAATGGAAATGACCAGATTCATACAATAAAGTGTTTTTAAACACTGTACTTTTTACTAAGTTCAGCATTTAGCATAGTTTTATGCCGAAATTCAAAATTCTTCAAGAGTTTCTTGAAATGAAAAATAATTAAATCATGATACATGTTATGCAGTGGTGCACCTGAACATTGATTTGAAATTTATTATTAAAAAATAAACATCTTACATTGTTTTTTGGTCGATATTTTGTACCTTTTTTTGGTTAGCAATGTACAGTATTTTCACCCAAATTCCAGTATTCTGAAGGCTGCTGTACAGTATCTGGGTCTAGAAATTATCACATGTATGTGGATTCCAATTTTATTATTTGATTATCATTTTATTGACTTTAATTTTTTTTTTAATACAATGACTGTAAATTAAGCCCTTAATCTATGTGTTTCACTTCGCATACCCCTTCAAACTGAAAAGGTTAATCCCCTAACTGCTCCAGGCTATAAGCTACCTGTACCTGGACAGCAGCGTGTGCGTTGAAGCGAGAAGTGATTTCCTGTCCCTAATTAACTCTGCATGCTAAATAAACAATGATACTTATCTGTGTGCATTGAATAAACAACTCTGATATTCTTATCCTGATTGACAAAATTCTGCGGTAGGGAAACTGAAAATCTGAATTTTCTCAAATCGGGAAAGTGGGGCAATTTTTCTCTCCCGATCGGGAAGGCGTGTTGAAAGGTTAAAATCGGGAGAATCCCGCCTAAATCGGGAAAGTTGGCATGTATGCAGCTAGTACTCTATTTAGTGTCCATCTGCAGAGAGTTGAAACCCTGCGTCCCCTAAAATAAATTACGCTAAAATTATTCACATGCTATTGAGCAGGAAAAGTGCCAAATTTTACACCTCGCCAAGAAAACTTGCTATATGGTAAAGTATATAGTTAAATATATAAACAAGTTAAAAATAAGGAAAATTAATTAGTACATTCGGAATGGTTGCCTGCTTGTTCACTGAAAGTTTGACTATCAGAGACAGTTTCAAAAATTTCTGAAGTTATTTCTAGACATGAATACAAATTAAAAAAAATTTCCATTTGGCTTAAAAGAGCATTTTATTTACTTATCAAGAAAGTTATATCCTAAAAGATAGTTGAAGTTGTAAGAAATAAAGAATGTTTTAAATTGTCTCCTTTTTAAATTGTTTTTTAACAAGCATTTTATTATTCATTTTTAGGTTGTGATACAGCGGAATCTCTCCGATCTCAAATTTTCATTGGTGGATCCGGATTCTCATGTTGTTCCTTCTGGGACAGCGGTAAGCTTTTTGATCCAGGCTGAAATTCACAGCCGGTTCAACTCCACTCTGATCATTGACTCCCTGGATGGTCACACACACGAGGCCTCGCTAGAGGACACGGAGGGACAGACACTGGCCCTGAACTGCACCCTGGGAGAAATGTTCGTGACCGCCACCTACGGCATAGGCTGCCTCCTCAATGTCAGATTTGAACATGCTTTTGAAAAAGAGGCAGTGTACAGACCGACAGCCAGAATATTCAGTGGTAATTTTTCTGAAGTCGTGGAGTTGGATTCTGAGTTACTTGTCATGAAACGCCTGGGTTTTTCCCAGGTTGTCTCCCCTGGAGTCTGCTCTGTTGGACAAGCTTGTGAGTTTGATTTGCAGTGTGAACCATTCTCCATATTTGCAAACGTTACATGGACTATTTCTAAAAACAACAACTCCCTGGATGTGATCCAGGGCTCGTTAAAGCTGAGCTACGTTTTCACAGAGCCTGGTTACTACCATATTTCTACACTGACTCAGAACAGACTCAGTAGTGTGTCTGAGTCCACTAATGTCCAGGTCTTAGTTCCCCTATCAGACCTGTACATCCAGTGTGAGGGGGGGCCTGTATACCCAGAATCGGAACCTGTTCTTTGTCGAGCTGACGTAATGGAAGGCAGTAATGCACAGTTCACTTGGAGTGTACAGCCAAACAACACAGGCTTTGTGCGGTCTGAAGTTCAGCCAATCAGAATAGAGAATACAAATCTCTCATCGGAGGCAGTGTTTACGTTTCATAATAAGGGGTCATACAATGTCAGTGTCACTGTGTATAACAGGGTCAGTAAACTCACAAGTTATGTCGACCGCCTCGTCCAGATACAGGAGAAGATACAGTGTGTCGTGATGAAGAGGGAACGGTCCACCTACCCCAGGGGCGTGGTCAGGCAAGGGGAGGTCACTCTGTTTCTGGTGAAGACTTGTGGGGGGAGTCATGTGAGGTTAGAATTTGATCTGGGGACAGGCAGACAGACGGCCAAAGTTCTGTACATAAAAGAGGAAGATTTGTATGAAGTGAACTTACGATTCTCAAGAGAGGGACAGCATACTGTGGCTGTTTTTGCTTTTAATGACATGTCTGAAGTGGAGTTTTCGACTCGCGTGTTGGTCCAGCGGCAGATTAATGGATTATCCCTGGAACTGAACCCGAATCAGCCCCATGTCAACTCGCCTCTTGTCTTTATGGTTACCGAAAAAGGTAGGATTTTAATATAAAATAGTAAAATACTTCCATTTTTATTTGTTTTCTATTTATTTATATAAAATCATTTTGGATCCCCAGTAATGAATTTCTTACGGTTATAACGAAGAACATATAGCAAAGTTTATTTGTTTTCTCTATGATAACTGTTTGAGAGTTAGTTGAGTTGATTTCTTGATCATTCTATCAGTCTGAGAATGTAAATTTGGCCAATCAATAGGCTAGGAGCTAAGGAGGCCTAATATGCTTGTAAATCTCATTGTGCTGTCTAAGTGTTTGAAGTCAGTAGGCGGGAACTATTGAAATTGACATTGAGGTCCTTGTGTAATTTTAAATCTCAGGGGCTGAAATAGGTAATTTGTTATATCCATATAAGGAATTCCTTTAATCTATATAGCTGGGGATCCAATATATGTACAGTACTCACTATAGAGATGTAACAACTAAAGGCTCACTTTACCACAAACATTTCTAATTTTTTTCCTGAAAGTAAACTTGCAACTTGTAAAATCAAAAAAAAAATGAATGAAAATAAAATTAAGGTACAATCAATTTGAAGCTGATGAAAAAAAATTTGCTAATAGAAACGATGGAATCAAAATTCTGTAATGGATGAAAGATGATGATTTTTTAAATGTCAAACTTTATTACCTAATTACTTATATAATTAGGAGTCAGAGGGTTTGATTGACAGATCCTAAAATTGCCAGCCCAGACGTAAAAGTGAAATGAACTCTATGTTAAAGGTCTGCTGCCAACAAAAGACTGTGTATTCACATAAAAATACACACACTCAGATTTCTTATTTGGAAAAGAAATCATGGCTTTTATTTAGCATTGGAAAAAAGTCTTGACATTAACTTAACATAATTTCGCGAGAAGCATTGTGATACTCGCAAAATAAAATACCTGCTTTTATTTTTATGGCGTTGATATCCATGTAAATTCTTTTGATCAACCATCCATTGCAAATTATTAGATTTGATGTATAAGAGCCATCTCACGATAATAAGAACTGTCTCGGAAAAAATATAAAGAATTTACAGTAGCAACAAATATCTGGTTAAAATTTTGTAACACTTAGACATATCCATGGTATTCACAACACATGTATTAGTGTTCAAGATTGTTAAGTTCAACTGTTCGTATGTTCAATATTGGTACATGTAGAATGTTTCAGTTATATCACCTGTTATACAGTGATTGGGATAAGCACGCGCCCTGCGCCATAGTCGCATTAAATTTCAAAATGTCACATTAAAATTAAAATCGCTGCGCCAACGTGGCGCATATATAATCATTCACTACATACTTTTAAACTTTGAGCTTTCCCCCAAGCGCTTGTAGTACTTCCCAAAACAATCGCTGTCAATTTAAGCTTGATAAAATAGTATTTAATGTCGTTCAATTAAAGCGTTCTTAAAACTTTCTTTTCTCCAGTATTAATCAAACAGTTACGTGTTTTGTGATTGGCTAATGCGCATCAAATAAACTGGTGTCTGGCGTGCAGCATGCTGCCTAAGAAAATACCTCATACATAAAAAGGCAACATTTCTTAATTTTTAACAATCCTAACAAACAGAATTGAAGTATTCAATATTAGATAGAAATAACAGTGTTGACAGAACATTGGAGATGAATCATTGCGATAAGCAATGGTCAGTGTTTTAAGGCATGAATCGGAGGGAAGCATTGATCAATAGGCTTTCATTCATTTTAAAGATGTCAAACATCGGAGACAAAAAATAAAAAAATTGAAATTAATTTGCAGTGTTTATTTATTTTTTGTCACTTGTGAATTTAAATATACTTATTTTGTATCTTTTAATGTTGTCATTCTATAATTTGACAAATTCAATTAAGTCAAGTCAACTGAAATTCTAACAGCAAGTAATCAATTGCAAGTTCGTAACTAGGAAATGTCCCATTAAAAAGTCTGTTTGGCGCATTGAATTTTGAAATGTCACATTGAAACTGACTTGGAGTGCGCCATTGTCACATTTACTCCCTAGCTTATCCCAATCACTGTGTTATATTTTGTTTCGTAGGAAATGTGTGCCGTCGAGATGACCTGGTTTACAGATTTACGTTCTCTGACGGAAATGAAGTGCAATGGTCAGTGTTAAGGCAACATTAGATAGCAATCAGGAGTGTTTACTGTCAACGTTACCGTTAACAACCTAGGTATCAGTCCTTTAAAATTCATAAAGACAAGTTTTTAAATTTTTCTTAACAATATAAGGCTAATAATTATTCCATTCTTAAGGCATCACCAGACAGCAATAGTCAGTGTTAAGGCAACATAAGATAGCAATACTGTAGATTCCTAATTTTTCGTGAGTACTTTTTATCGCGAACTGGACCTTCAATGTCAAATCGCGAGAATTATAATTCGCGAATGGAAGGTTGATTAACGAAATTTACATAGATTTTGGCACCATAAAAATAAAAGCGAGTAATATTACACGGAAATTAATTAATCACATATAAATAGGAATCTACAGTAGTCGATTTTGTCCAAGTCCTGTCCTAAAGGTGGGCTAGTACAATAATAAAGGGTTTCAACATAGTTAGGGAAAACGGAATGTGGCAAAATATACAAATGCAAAGATAGAAGTTCAACAAATAAAATTTCATTGGATTTAGTGGTCATAATAGTTAAGGGTTTTACATAGGAAGGCTTAGTGGCCTATTGGCTTCTTTATAAAATTCTCTTTCTGTAAACAAGATTCAACATGAAATAATTAAAAAAAATTCATGGAGTCAATAAATTTACATGTTTTAAAAAATTATTTATTACATTATTTTGGGGGTTTTATGAGAAGTGATATATGACTAATTTGGAGAGAAACTCTTAGATATATTGAGGTTGAAATTGATTCAGACATGAAAATTAAAATAATACTGTAATTAAATTTCCTATTTTGGATTCTGATAATAAGTCAAGGTTGATCTTCAGAATTAAGTTTTAAGTCTTGGTTATAGTCATTAAATCCGCGGTTGTAGAAGCCAGACAGAGAAAACGTTATTTAACTTCCTCCTCTGATTTAATAACTCGGAGAACAGTTTCTACGAGACAGTCAGGTTTTTATGATGTCAGTATTTCTATAGGAACTTGTACTTGATCAATATTACAGCAGTTATGTCATTAAAAAGATCCAAGAATGTAGAAACTTAACTCTGGATAGCAAAGTCACATACATTGATCTTTTTTGCATAAGAACATAAAGAAAAGCATTAAAGAATGAACAGACCTTTGAAAATCTTTAACAATCAACAACAAATAAAATCAATTTTGTTCCTCTTTGATTGTAAAAAAAAGTGTCATTATTTCAGTTGACAGTGTGGCTCTGTTCAGGACCTTCACAGTCAGGAATGATGGGAATTACCCAGTAGCACTATCCAATCCAATCTTCAGTGCTGTAAATCAACCAATCAAATTCAAAGTTCAGGTTAGTGTCTGTTAGGCATTATGGGTATTACCCAGAAATCCAATCAAATCTTTAGTTCTTTAATCAACCAATCAAATTCAAAATTCAGGTGAGTGTCAGTTAGGCAAGATGGGAATTGCCCATTAAGAAATTACGATAATGTTTAAGATAAAGCACCATCAGAGTTATACATTTATGTTACTAGTATATGATGGGAAAAACCCATTTGAAAATTTCATCATCTAACCTGCTGACTCCTTCTGTTTTATACAGGGTGTGGCTATGGAGGCATTTACTATTGAGGTCAAGTTTGGAGATCGAGACGAAGCAGTGGTTGTCTCCTCCATCCAGTAAGTCTACATATATCAGAGAAATCGGTAAAACAAGTGTTTCTGACGGTTACTTCAAATGGCGTCATTTATTAAGGGACACCCTGTAACACCGATATGATTGTTTTGTAACACATACTGCAATAATGTAATGTAAAACAGTAAAGTTGAATTGTAACTCTGACTTGCTCTGTCTTGATGTAGATGGGATCACACCTATGACAAGCCCGGTATTTATGAAGTGTCGGCCGTACTACACACAGTCAGTCTGGGTAACCTAGAGGTCACCAGTGTCGTCATTGTCCAGGAGAAGTTGAAAGAACTGACCATCAGAGCTCCAGGGGTCATCAAAATAGACAGGTAAATTGTGATCAATCATTATAGTTCGAATCCCATATTGAGACTGCATAAACCGAGGTCCCATGTTGCAGTAGATGCTGGTACAAAAAAGATCCCTTCCTGCTCAATGGCCCTGAGTGCCGAGCATTGGACAAAATTTGAAGTGTGTTGATGTCTCCATATGAGTGAAAAATTCTTGAGAGGGACGTTAAACGACATACAATCAATCATTAAACACAGGGAAATTCTAATTTACTGTTATTGATAGGTAAATTATGATCATTCATTAAAACTAACAGGTATATTTTCATCAATCTAGCAGGAATGTGTTTAAGAAGATATAAGGGAATCTGAATGTTTCGTGATTTATATGTTCCTATGATTGGTTAGAGGTCATGTAGTAAAACGGTGCCATAACCAATTATAACATTAATGTGGCAAATTTGTCATTTGTTTATTCCTCCTAATTTCATTAAGGCATTTAACTGAACATAAAAGAAATTTTTTAAATCCAAGTAAGAAAAAGCAATGAAACCTGTTACAATCTCTTCTTCACTTTAAAGGTGTACCCTGAAAACTGAACATGAAGGTTACAGAAATTACCTCAATCATCTAACATTAGGTACAGATTTTGGTATAAATTTAGCAGGTTTGTGTAGATTCAGACATTCCTGAGCTTCTGACTACAGGATGATGAGCAGACAATTATAAACAGGAAGTGGTCGTCTACTGACATCAGCTCGAGTTCTCCTCTGTGTGGCTGGATCAGTTTGTACCGAGTCACTCTCACTCAATGATTCTGAGCTGTCGTGTAGGGAGGGTGAAATCTGTAGCCACACTCTGATTAGATTAACATTAAAACGTGGAACAAATTATGTAATCTTCAAAAGACTTCTCTTTAAAGAGAGGTGAAATACGAATCAATCTTACTGGATTTCAGGGGTAAAAAAATTACATTGTTCTGAACAATGAAGTAGAGTAAGGAAATGTTTTTCCCTCTGGCAGCTGTAGAGAGAATCTCCCCGGCAGGATGGGTTTGTTTATAGGGAGACTGGAATGGATGAAATTAAGAACAACAATCAAAGGTTTTAACTGCAGTGGTTAGGCATTGGAGCTTTCATTTGTTTATCAACTTTTCAGTTTTCCAATGAGTCGACTCCTTCTCTGCACAATGTTAGATAATTGGTCTCATCTCGTAGCTCTGCTGCTGGGACAAGTGAATCATTTCGGAAGGGGGAGGGCTATTTCTGTCCAAGTATTTATTATTTTATGAATTTTTTTTAAAAATCCCTATGTTATGGGAAATTTATTTTTAAGACTAAAAACATAATGAAAAAAGATTATAATGAAATTTTCAGACTTGATTTTTATCATACCTTAACTTAATTCCTATGTAAAAATAAAAATCAGAGACAGGAAACCAAAAAAAAAAAAAAAGCAAAATCCCCACACTAATACCCCCCCCCCCCCCCCAGAGTGTCATAAATTAAAATTTGGAGACTAAGCACTTAAGAAACAGTGTAGATTGAAGTTAAATTGTGATAGGAATAAAAATTGAAAAGTATGTGAAAATATCAACCGCAATTAAGACCCCTGCAGGTGTTGGGTGGAGCTCACCTACACTGAAAAGCAATTATTGAACAAGAAACATTTTAACAAAGTATTAACCCAGCACTCTTCAGAATACACACACTAGAACCAGCTAACCAGCCGTTCTAAGGAAAAGTTTAGGTAATCAGCCTTTAATTACTGAAGCACGAAGCCACGTGCCACAATTCCAATTTTAAACAAGTATTACTCTCTAAAGAAAAACATGTGGTGATGATCAGGGGAAAAAAAGATATTGAAAAAAACAGAAAGCCCCAATATATGAGGTGAAATGAAAAACCACAGGGTGATTAAGGTGAACTCTATTTTTTTTCTTAGAATTGCAGATTTTTTTGCTATTTTGTGTTTTCGGTTAAGTGTAATATTTTTAAAACAAATATGTTCTGTTGTCAGCAAACCTAATAACTGTCTCTCACCATTGTTTCTATTATTTTTTCTGTAACAAGGTGGGTGGACTTTTTAGACTTAATTTATGTCTGGAAATCTTGTTATCTGTTTAAGCATGTGTGGAGTCTATGGAACGCCAAATTAACATGTATTCAAATATTTGTACCTATCTTCAAATAATTGTACCTATCTTCAATTGAATTGTACCTATCTTCAAATGAATTGTACCTATGTTTAAATCAATTGTACCTATCTTCAAATGAATTAAAGATAGGTACAATTCAATTATACCTATCTTTAATTCATTTGAAGATAGGTACAATTGATTTGAAGATAGGTACAAATGCAATGAATTGAAGATAGGTATAATTGATTTAAAGATAGGTACAATTGAATTGAACCTATCTTTAATTACTAAGATATTGGCAAAAACAACTACTCCCTTTATCATACGCCATTTCCGATACGTCACAGCTGGCGCGAAAGTTTATTGGAATCTTCATCTGACTGCAATAGATAAACTTACATGAGGTGCATGTGTATTTTATAAGTATATGACGCTTTTTGCACATTTTGAATTAACCTTTATTTCCCCTTTCATCCTTGTTGTCGTCGCTCTGTAGGTTCTGTGCGTTTCCCTCCATACTCAATATTGTCTCCAAGGGAGCGTTCATTCTTCACCAACAACATAAAACGAATTGGACCTAGGTATAATTGAATTGTACCTATCTTCAAATCCTTTGTGGATATGTCTTAATTGAACCTATCTTCAAATCAATTGTACCTATCTTTAAATCAATTATACCTATCTTCAAATGAATTAGAGATAGGTATAATTCAATTGAACTTATCTTTAATTGAATTGAAGATAGGTGTTATTCTATTAAAGATAGGTATAATTCATTTGTACCTAGGTATAATTATTTAGAGATAGGTATAATTATTTATACCTATCTTCAATTCAATTATACCTATCTTTAATTCAATTGTACCTATCTTTAATTCAATTGTACCTATCTTCAATTCATTTGAAGATAGGTACAATTATTTGAAGATAGGTGCAATTATTTGAAGATAGGTACAAATATTTGAATATATGTTAATTTGGCGTTCCATAGGAGTCACAGGATTTTCACATGTGTAATTATCCTCAAGATTTTTGAAAGAACCTATTGACATATTTAGCTCACCAGAACCAGGACTCAAATACCGTTCTGTTTAAGCTTCACGTAGTAAATTTTTGTTTTTGATTTGACAAAGTATATTGCCAATCGGGCATTGAATTTAAAGCAGATCTATTTTGTCAGAAATTCCATACTTTTTTGGTCTGATTAAACTTTTTCACATGGCTGTACCAGAGCTGCCAACCCTTATGATTTTGGCATAAGGTGAATGAAATCAGCATCTAAATTACGAATTAGGAATCCTCTCTTTATTCTTCCGATTTCAGTTTTTCTCGTTCAAAGTTTATAATGCCGGTATTTTCATAGCTGGCAGTCTATAGTTTCTACTATTATAATATATTCATGATTCTTACAACGCTTGCTTGTATCATCATTTTGGTTTTAGAATGCCGATCACATTCATGTTAATATTTAAAGTAAACAAACTGGAAACATATTGCATGTCCATTTACAAAACATCTTCAGCAGCAGGGGACATAGGTGGTCCCTAGACCCCGCCTTACTATTTGTCATTTCAGAATCTTGGCAGCTCTGCTTTACTTATATAATCTATCTTTCCTTGTAACAATTATAGAGCTACTGTCTCATCAGAGACTTCCATTTTCTGATGACATATTAGATGATGTTACCTGTCAACTTGTTCTCGTTCTTATTGACATAAATTATTAATTATATAATATTATGGTATTAATTTTTTCAACAAAAAAAAGTAAGCAAGGAAAATGTTACTTGGAAGTTCAAAATTAAAAAGAGAAATAATGAATCATTTCAGAATTTCCAGAGAGCACCTGTTTGAAGCTGAGATAACCGTTGGTGGATCCAAGGAATTGACTGGGGGTGAATCCCAGGATTTTACAGGGAGTGGATCTGGGGTTTTGTACTTCTGGTCCTTAGACAATCGTCAGTCTCCTGCTAGCACTGTTAACTGGGTAATGTGTTATTTATTAATAAAGCAATATTATAAAAAGTGGTACAAGGGAGCTTACTTGTACAACTTGTGGATAAGTGAATATGGCATGCTGCAATGACAGTGTAAAAATGATTCAAACTTTAAAAATTAGTTCATAGAGTTTATCCACTCATTGTTATATGTACAGGAAGAGCAGTTAATGTTCTGTATTTTAAGATTTTGTCGTAAATACTGACTTGACAGGTTATTGACTTTACAGGTTATTGAAGAAATTGACCGGCCTGGTACAACTGTACTAACAGTGGGTGCCCAGAATGACCTTGGAGATAAGTCACTTGCTGTACAGGAGGTGAAGATCCAATACCCTCTCCTTGATGTGACCTTGACCTCCGATCCTACAGTGGAGGGGCGTGTCTGTGACATCACGGTCCGGGTCACAGGAAGTCGGGACGTTGTGTTTGATGTGGATTTTGGTGACAGAGTTCAGGCTTCGTTATCCTCTGATGATGTCGTTGTTACCATAGATACCACCTCTAGCTCGTATCTACCTAAATACACCGCCGTCCTACAACACCAGTACAATCTGAAAAGTCAGTACCAGGTCAAGGTCAATGTGTCTAATGCCGTCTCCTGGGTGACGGGGGATGTCACGGTGATGGTAGGGGAGGCTCTCGGGGATGTTACCCTGGAGATCCTGTCACCCCACAGGGAGCTGCCCGGGGTCTACGTCGTGTCCCTCAGTGATCCACTGACTGTCCGAGTGACCGCCGGCAGGGGAGATAATCTAACCTTCACTTGGGATTTCTCCGAGTATTCTGACGGAGGCACCAAGGACCAGATAGGGTAATATGAGTAGTATTATAAGTATCAAGAAAATTAAAAATAGTAAATGTTTTACAATTGCCAATTGAGAGTTAATTTAAAAATTTTGAGTCCAGTTCAACATACTGTTGGATCTTTTTTTACTTCATAGGTACTGAAAGAGAATTTAATTTTTATAACTAACAAAGTCAAGTTCAATGTACTGTAGATATAAAGATCCTTTTTCACTTCATAGATTCTGTAATAAAAATTTAATTTCTCTAACTAATTGGATTGACTTTTTTCATGATTTTTGTCTGCCGCACACTTTATATATTCCTTTATAAATTTTCTTGATCACAGAACACCTTTGCTAAAAAAAAAAACAGTAGACTGAAAGTAGTTTTTTATTTCATAGAAATATAGACTTTATAGGTATGTACATGTATCACTAGTCTTGTTGTAACACAGGAATGGTAGTTCCAGCACGGCGACCTACGCCTTCAGTATGACGGACATTTTCCCGGTGTCTGTCAGTATCGACAGTCCCTACTACCAGGTGCCCCAGGTGTTCCCATTCAGACACAAGTTCAAGGTCGTCCAGGAAATCCAGGGAGTTTATCTGGAGGTCAAAGGGTCGAGGAAGACAGGAGCCGCCCTCAAACGTGTGAACGGAGAATTACAGACGGAGGAGATACATTTCATAGCCAGGTAAATATATGTGTGTGGAGTTCAGAGGAAAAAAAGGGAAGGGGGATACATTTCCTAGTCAGGTTAACTTAAGTGTGTAAAGATGACAGGGGAATGGAGGGGGTATATTACCATGGAGGGGGTGTATTACCATGGAGGGAGTATATTACCATGGAGGGGGTATATTACCATGGAGGGAGTATATTACCATGGAGGGAGTATATTACCATGGAGGGGGTGTATTACCATGGAGGTAGTATATTACCATGGATGGGGTATATTACCATGGAGGGAGTATATTACCATGGAGGGAGTATATTACCATGGAGGGAGTATATTACCATGGAGGGGGTATATTACCATGGAGGGGGTGTATTACCATGGAGGGGGTATATTACCATGGAGGTAGTATATTACCATGGAGGGGGTATATTACCATGGAGGTAGTATATTACCATGGAGGGAGTATATTACCATGGAGGGAGTATATTACCATGGAGGGGGTATATTACCATGGAGGGGGTATATTACCATGGAGGGAATATATTACCATGGAGGGGTATATTTCCATGGAGGGAGTATATTACCATGGAGGGAGTATATTACCATGGAGGGGGTGTATTACCATGGAGGTAGTATATTACCATGGATGGAATATATTACCATGGAGGGGGTATATTACCATGGAGGGGGTATATTACCATGGAGGGAGTATATTACCATGGAGGGGGTGTATTACCATGGAGGGAGTATATTACGATGGAGGGGGTGTATTACCATGGAGGGGGTATATTACCATGGAGGGGGTATATTACCATGGAGGGAGTATATTCCCATGGATATTACCATGGAGGGAGTATATTACCATGGAGGGGGTGTATTACCATGGAGGGAGTATATTACCATGGAGGGGGTATATTACCATGGAGGGAGTATATTACCATGGAGGGGTATATTACCATGGAGGGGTTATATTACCATGGAGGGAGTATATTACCATGGAGGGAGTATATTACCATGGAGGGGGTATATTACCATGGAGGGGGTATATTACCATGGAGGGGGTATATTACCATGGAGGGAGTATATTACCATGGAGGTAGTATATTACCATGGAGGGGGTATATTACCATGGAGGGGGTATATTACCATGGAGGGGGTATATTACCATGGAGGGAGTATATTACCATGGAGGGAGTATATTACCATGGAGGGAGTATATTACCATGGAGGGAGTATATTACCATGGAGGGGGTATATTACCATGGAGGGGGTATATTACCATGGAGGGAGTATATTACCATGGAGGGGGTGTATTACCATGGAGGGATTATATTACGATGGAGGGGGTGTATTACCATGGAGGGGGTATATTACCATGGAGGGGGTATATTACCATGGAGGGAGTATATTACCATGGAGGGAGTATATTACCATGGAGGGAGTATATTACCATGGAGGGGGTATATTACCATGGAGGGAGTATATTACCATGGAGGGAGTATATTACCATGGAGGGAGTATATTACCATGGAGGGGGTGTATTATCATGGAGGGAGTATATTAACATGGAGGGGGTGTATTACCATGGAGGGAGTATATTACCATGGAGGGAGTATATTACCATGGAGGGAGTATATTACCATGGAGGGGTATATTTCCATGGAGGGAGTATATTACCATGGAGGGGGTGTATTACCATGGAGGGGGTATATTCCCATGGAGGTAGTATATTACCATGGAGGAGGTATATTACCATGGAGGAGGTATATTTCCATGGAGGGGGTATATTACCAGGGAGGGGTATATTTCCATGGAGGGAGTATATTACCATGGAGGGGGTGTATTACCATGGAGGGGGTATATTACCATGGAGGTAGTATATTACCATGGAGGAGGTATATTACCATGGAGGAGGTATATTTCCATTGAGGGGGTATATTACCAGGTATATTACCATGGAGGGGGTATATTACCATGGAGGGAATATATTACCATGGAGGGGGTGTATTACCATGGAGGGAATATATTACCATGGAGGGGGTATATTACCATGGAGGGGGTTTATTACCATGGAGGTAGTATATTACCATGGAGGAGGTATATTACCACGGAGGAGGTATATTACCATGGAGGGGGTATATTACCATGGAGGAGGTATATTACCATGGAGGAGGTATATTACCAGGGAGGGGGTATATTACCAGGGAGGGGGTATATTACCATGGAGGGGGTGTATTACCATGGAGGGGGTATATTACCATGGAGGTAGTATATTACCATGGAGGGGGTATATTACCATGGAGGGGGTATATTACCATGGAGGTAGTATATTACCATGGAGGGGGTATATTACCATGGAGGGGGTATATTACCATGGAGGGAGTATATTACCATGGAGGGAATATATTACCACGGAGGAGGTATATTACCATGGAGGGGGTATATTACCATGGAGGGGGTATATTGCCAGGTATATTACCATGGAGGGGGTATATTACCATGGAGGGGGTGTATTACCATGGAGGGGGTATATTACCATGGAGGGAATATATTACCATTGAGGGAGTATATTACCATGGATGGGGTATTTTCTATTAATATTCTTCCAATGAAAATAGCTGTAACATATGTAGATCAATATGATGTTTGAAACAATATGGCGACCTCCATGCAATTTGATGTGAAAATATATCCAAACAACTTCATACAGCTGTGGGCAGTGGGCACACCTCAAAAGTGGTAGAAAATATTTTTCTTCGTGGATTTTTAGTCAAGAGTTTGACACCACCTTCTACTTGTTGCGGTATCAATTTCTATCAACATTTGATTGGCTTAAATTGATGCACCTAAAATGCAGAACACGGACTCATATGGTCCTTTCAATAATTCTTGAAAACATTTATAATTAACAGAAAAAAAATCAAATTAATAAAACCTTGTTTTTTTAAGCATATATCACATCCTAACTTTCATCCCTTGTAAATATTACTTTTATTTTGAATAAAATAGGAACAGCATTTACTTCAGCCAAAAATCGTTGATTAGTAAAAACTTTGCGTAGACTTGGACTTCGCAGCCAATCAAATTCGTTTGCGCGAGTTCTAAAATTTTCGGCCAAATTTGCCAAGGGTTGAAGAGTAGGTATGGGATCAGAATCTGTTGGCTGGCGAAGATGTGTATGTAAATAAGCAGGCAAAAATGATGACAATTTAATCTTCATAAAAATACCCCCAAAAAGATAAGTGAATTTAAACTGTTTAATTAACATGATTAATCAAATGAAATATAATAATGAAATGAAGAATCTATAAAGGTCACTTTTAATGCATCCGGTAGGTGACTGCTTATTACAGGTTTGACTGTATTTATGATAAGCAATGGTGCCTCTTTCATTTTATTATAGACTAGTTATTAGCTTCATAATACATGTAATAAAACAGACAGAAAAGAAATTAAATATGAAATCAGAAGAGGATATGTAAATGATATTCTCTATCTGTGAACTCCTACAAATATCATCTAACATTTAATTAATTAAGGAAATCCATTGGCAAACTCTCTGTATTCTCATTTCTGTAGCTGTGTGTATTTTATGGAATGGTTTTTCTCTGAGAGATTGTTGGTATGAGTATAGAGCAGCCTGGAGGTTCCCTGTCACCTGTTGACAGATCCCCAGAATCTGCCACGATATGTCTCTGAGAGGTATAAGCTGTCCCTGATCATAGTGAACTAGGGTCTGTAGATCATCTAGAGCTGTTTGTGCTCGCATTGTGTCTACATGTCTGTAGCACAAGATCTCTAGCATGTATAACAGGATAAAGGGTGGGACATGTAATGAAAACCAGTGGTTCTGTAGAGCAGAGTGTTGTTCTGGTATCAGTTCACTGATGTAATGGATTTCATTGAAAAGTGTGACAATCCAAGCTACAGCCTGTCTCATCTTTGTAGACCAGGACTGTCCCCCTACAGCCTCAGTATACCTCTCTGTATCTACATTAAAGTTATACATCACATAAGGCTGTGCTAACTTGACCTTGATCATCTCTGTAATAGATAAAGCTTCCGTGTATCTTAGTGTCTTGTAATAATACATGGCTATGTACAGCATGTCTGTGATACAACCAAACCTGGCTGTTAATTTCAGCATGTGACAGGATATTTTGTCAGCTCTATAACTTAGTTTGTTGTCAGGTGTGCAAGTTTCTATGTGTAATGTAAAAGCAGTGCTCTGAAGGACCCAAGCAGTGGTGTTCTGTAGCTTGAGGACTTGATACTTTGACAGAAGGGGTGAACCTATCATCTGTTCTATTGTATGTAGACATCTAATGCAGATTTGTATGTCCAATTTTACTGGTTTCGTGCAATGAAGTAGTATTTCACGAAATAATGTTCTATCAAACCCAGCCTCAGAAATCAGAGTATGATCATCTGTACAGATGGAGTTTCTGGTGTTATAGAGGACATCTATAATACAAGATCTAATGGTGGGACTATGTAGCAGGAATGCTATACCCTTCTCATACAACTCTGACAGTCTTATAAATAACTGATATTGTTTGACACCATGAATTTTACTCAGAAACATGTTGTTGCCTGGAATGAAAAAGTTAGGACAGTCCCCCTCATACACCCATTTGAGGATGAGTTTAAAACAGACCCAGAAACACCCCAGGAGATTTTGTGGACACCAGTGAGGTATTGTATTTTGTTGAATCACCCAGAAAACTGCTGTCTTCATGTGATAGGAACACAGTAATTTATCATCATCACCTATTCCATTGTTAATTATTTCTGTTAAGATCAATTTAAGAAAGCCGTAAGTTAAGAATTGACAGTGATTCATTACAAACACAAGTTTCTGTTCTGCTTGGGAGAAAGAAATTCTCCATTCATGATCTTCATGATTTCCTAGCTTATGTCCAATTGCTACAAAGTGACATCCATTTTTCACAATATCATCAACAACATGAGGCGGGGGCCATGAATGACATCTGTCTATCCATGAGGAGGCAGATGGA